CCCTGCTGGGCCTGCAGCCTGGGTCGAATGAGGATCCGCGGGCCCCAGTTGGCTCACTCACTCTCTGGGCCTGCGCTCTGGGTCTGTTCAGGATCCCGTGGCCTGGGTCATCTCACTCACTTGCCGGGCCTGCGCTCTGGGTCTATTCAGGATCCCGTGGGCCGGTCCTCTCACTCACTCGCCGGGCCTGTTCAGGATCCCGGCCTGGGTCGTCTCCAGAAAGGTGTAATTCTTACTGAGTCCCGTGGCCTTAGCCAAGACATCATCTCATGTCTTAGCCCTAGAATTTTTCAGGCTCCTGCTCAAGCCCAAGTCTGGCCACTGGTGTCGGCGTGTGCTGGGGGTCATGCTCCAGTTGCTTCAGTCCCTTGCCCACATGTCCGTGCCTTCTCTCTGATAACAGCCCTTCTGGTGGTGGGTGTGAAGTGGCATCTTACTATGGATTCCTCTTGCATGATGGATTATGTGAGCATCCTTGTGCATACTTTTGTTCATTTATTTGTTGCCTCAGGATAAATGTCTGTCCAAATTTTTTACTTAAAGTGAGTATTAAGTTAATTGACTTCATCGCTGAGTTGCAAGAATTCTAGACCCTCATCAGATACATGGTTTTCAAACATTTTAAAAACTTAAGATTTTTGTCCCATGCATTTTCTTCTTTGGAAATGATCATCAAGGCTAGCCAAATAACTCAGCGAATTACAGCACCTGCAAGCAGGTACAGGGCTGGGGGTTCCATCCTCAGGCCTGCTGTGCCGGCCCCACCCCCCGGGCACACTGAGACAGCAATTGAGACTGGGTGTGGTGGTGCACCCCTGCAATCCCAGCATTTGGGAGGCTGTAAACAGGAGAATCACTACGAGTCTGATCTAGTAGTGAGACCCTGAACACCCTGTAGACCCGTCCCTAAAAAAAAAAAAAAAAAAAAAAAACACAACCCTGGAAATGATCATCATTTATTTCCTCTTATTAACATGTAATTACATTTATTGCCACATATTTAACAAATCTTGAGTCACTGGTTAGTGGAGTATAACTTTTTTATATGCCTCTTGATTTGGCTTTCTAGTATTTTGTTGAGAATTTTTATGTCTATATTTATTGATATTGATAGTTCTTATGCAGTTTATGTCTGATTTTCGGTATTATGGTAATAATGGCATCATAGAACGAATTAGGATGTATTCTTTCTCTTTTTCTTTTTTGGTCTGTGTCTCAGTGGCTCTTCTCTTGTTGCTGGGACAAATACCTGACACCCAAAATGAAGGTAGGAAGGGTTACTGGAGGTTTCAGTCCACACTCAGCTGGATCCAAGGCACAGAGGCGCATGGCAGAGGGCAGCAGTTCATGGTGGCCGAATAGCAACATGGCAACAGAGAGAGTCTGGCTCTCTATCTCTCTTACATTGCATTCAGGTGCTCTGCCCCAGGCTGGGGGAAGTACACACACCCGTAGTCCCAGCAGGACTAAGACCCATAATCCCAGGTGATCATAAATTAATCTCAAACTCTAGAAGTCCCTGCTCCATGACTGCATGAGGCTTTTGGGGGACAGCTGGACACAAACTGTAACAGTCTGTGAAAATTTGCTAGTAATGCTTCTTTCAGTGCTTGGTAGAACCACTGAATCCATCTGGTACTGGGTTGTGGACTTTTAAAAAAAAATGTTGGAAGGTTATTGCTTATACTTCTTTACTTCTTACAGCTATATCCATACTTTATATTTCTTCTTGATTTATACTTGGTTTGTATCTTTCTAGAATTTGTCTATTTCTTCTAAGTTAAGTTGGTTGGCATATAATTTTTCTGTATAGTCCTTTATAATTCTTTGTTGTTCTCTTAGGTATTAGCTTGTCTTTCATCCATGATTTGTAGGAGGAATTTAACCCAGAGCCTTTGGAGTAAGCTACATCCCTAGCCCTGTTCTTAGTTTTTATTCTGAGATGTGTCTTGCTAAGTCACTAGGTTACCCAGGCTGGGCTTAAACTCACAGTCCTCCCACCTGGGTCTCCCAGAGTCCTGGGATTATAGGCGTGGACCACTACTCAAAGCTCATCCCTGACTTGAACAATTTGAGTATCTTCTCTTTTTTCTTGGTTATACTTGCTATAATTTTTTCATTTTTGTTCTCCTCAAAGAACTCACTTTTAGGATAGTTGATTTTTCTCTCATTTTCTATTCTCTGTTTTGTTTTTTTGCATTCAAATTCTTATTTTGTCCCTTCTTCTTCTGAGTCCAGCTTCCTTCCTTCCTTTCTTTCTTTCTTTCTTTCTTTCTTTCTTTCTTTCTTTCTTTCTTTCTTTTTGTATTTTAGGGCAGGGTCTACAGGGTGTTCAGGGTATAAATCGGACTCATAGTGATCCTCCTGTTTACAGCCTCCCAAGTGCTGGGATTACAGGCTTGCGCCACCACGCCCAGTCTCACTTGCCATGTTAGCAAGCCGTGGGGGCGGGGCCAGCACAGCAGGCCAGGGGCTCTAACTCCCAGCCCCTGCATCTGCCTAAGCAGGCACTTTAATCCAAGAGTCCAGTTTCTTTTCTAGTTTCTGGTAGAATTTTATGTTCTCACATTGGCACATTTCTTTTTTAACATATGTGCTTATAGCTGCAAAGTCCCCTCGATCACTGATTACTTCCCTCCCGAGTTCTGGCATATGGTGTCCTCACCTTCTTTTACCTTAAATTACTTTCTAAATTCTCCTTGATTTATTGGCTGTTCAGGATTATGTTGCTTTATTTCCACGTATTTGTCAAGTTCCAAGTGTCCTTCTGTTACTGAATTCCAGTTTTGCGTTTCATCCTTTCCTATTTGTTGAGACCTTCTTATGATGGCCAGCAGTCATTCGTCTTCTCTCATCTTAATTCTCACTGCTGCTTCCTGTGACAGACCCTGCTGACTTCCCACGCAAGCGCTGGTCGCTCCCCCTTCAAGCCTGCCCTGAAAATCCCCGGAGGTGAGTAGTAAAATATCCCCCGGGGAGGTGTCTCCCGTTTATTCACAGACTAAGTCCGTAACTCCTAACCTGCATGACATCTAAGTCAGAATGTAGCTTCCAGGACTGGACTTAACCATTTTTACCACCTTTACAAGTTTATCTCTGAAGTAAATGTGAGGGTTTTTTTTTTTAAATCCCCTTTATTATAGCCAATTTTGAATTTTTTAACAATCAGTTTCACTTTGTTTGTATTGGTTCAGGAATTCTAGAAAAATCTGAAAGTTGAGTTACGTGCATCTTAGAGTCTGTGAGTTTTCAGACCTTGTCTGTGCAAATGTGATTATGTTAACTGCATCAGAAGTGAAGGAGACAGAAGTAAGATGCTCTTTCATACCGCCAGCAAAATATTGGGGTTCACGCTGTTGGTGGCGTGTGGTGCGGCTTGTTGCTACAAAATCCTTTCTTCTGACCTTGGTGTCGATCCCAGCTGGCCCTTTGTCCATGAACTCTTTACTGTGCTTTACCCACAGTGGTCTTTTTCCCAAATCCCTCAGTATTTTATTCTATAACTCTTCTTTAGATTCCTTTACCTACATTCTTCTTTTCCTTCTTAACCTACAAGCACTTTAAAAACAGGAATATTTTGTATCCAGTGTTTTACACAGAACAGGAATTCACACAAATATCCTCAAGATCATGAGTGAGTAATTTTAGTGCTCCTGTTCCTCCTCTCTCCAGCGCCCCCCATCTGTCCCCTGACCCGCGGGGTCTCCCTTCTCCATGTTGACCCACGTGACCTTGCTCATGCTGCTGCAGCATGGATGCCCTGGTACAGAATCTTCTGGCACGGCTTTATCTGGGAGTGCCTGCCCGGACCTGCCTCTTCCTGTCTCCAAGGGCACCTGTTGCCTGTTCTCCCTGCACAGACCTGTGATGATCGTGGCCTTCTTACCTTACTCCCACCCCAGGCGCTCATCCTCACTCCTGTGTCCTTGGTGACAGTGCCTTCTTCACCTGGAAGCCATTGTCCCAGGAGTAGGTGGACAATGGCCTCGCCATACTTTGACTTCATATCTGTTTTCTGCTGTCTTGCCTCATTACTGTGAGGAAAAGGATGATGTTTTATTTGCCTATACTCCCTGTAACACTGCCTTCAGCATGTAAGAGGGCATTCAGTACATACTTGTGAAAACAGTGAGTAACGATTTGCTGCCGTGGGACATTTAGGCAACTCCTGAAATTATATTAAGTATTTTTAATCCTTTATCTTTTATGAATGTAGGTTCCAAGGTTTCTTAACCTTGTAGTATTGGACAGGGTTCTTACAAGCTGAAAGCGCCCCTGGGTGTCACCATGATATGCATATGAAATTACCCTGTTGTTCTTTTATTACACAGATGCACGTACTTTTCTATGCATACATGTTGAAACTTTGGTTTAGATCCGTCACTCCCAAGGGAAAGAGCAAATACAATACATGAGCATCTTGATTTGTTTTTAAGCTACCGTTAAACAGAATGGCATGATACACCAAACGGGCTCAAGCTCTTTAACCAATTATTCATATGATAGCTTTAAATTAACAAATATGTCCCTCAAGAAACAGTTAATAGACTGAAGGAAAGTTTTTCCCAGTGTCCAATGAAGTTCTTATATTTCTTCAAAAAGTGCAGAACCCTTGCTCCGGAAGTAAGATTTATGTCTTATAGAATCCCATCATGGAGTCATTTTCTGCTGGTTATGATTTAAAATTTCCTTTCCTGGGAGAAGTGAAATATTCCAGCACTCACATTTCAGACAGTGGATAATGTCACTTAGCAACGTACCTCTTTATGATGACCTTTGGATGTCTGGAAATTACTGTTGATGCTTAATGTAAAAGGAGTAATTCACCAAGGAGTATTGACTTTTAAAAGTCTTTTGTTCTTTCAAGGTGGTTTCCAGAAGTGCAGAATATTTATTACCAAGGTAATAAAAAAAAGCAATTGCCAACCAGTGACAACAGTGCCAAATTGGAATCTTTTTTCAACTGTGCTGCGACGCTCATGACTTTACAGCTGCAGGACCTCGCTGTCGCCTCCATGCAGGATTTCACGGACCTGATTGCACAGCCCCCAGTGAGTGTGGTTCCGTCACCCGTGTACGCTTCCTGCCTTGTGGTGTTCAGTTCTTTCAGAAAGGAAAACGATAAACTTATCTCTAGCCTTGAGGGAAGAGGAAGTACATCTTTAGACCCATCGTATGTAAGCTGTTAAAAACAGTTCTATTTAGGATATATGATTATCATGTCAGGCGAGGATTAGGGGAAATAAGAAATTCCCACAGTTGGCACGTTGAGGTCGTGGCGGCTGGGGAGAAGTCCATGGTGGTGCTGTCTCTCTCTGCAAGAACTTCCTGTTGGTTACAGTGTGGACAGAGCCTCAGAACTGGAAGGGCTTTCTCTTGGGCTTATTTTTCCACTGTTCCAAAGCCCACTGTGTGTCATCCTGTTTTGGAGAACTGGGTTCCCGAGTCAGCCTGCAGGCTCAGAAGGGGCAAGTCTGTCATGTGGTCATGCTTTCTGCTTTCAGTAGAGCTGCTGGCTCACTGTTGAGGGCACAGGGGGAGGTGTAGGGATGTACAGTATGTTTACGTAGACATTCTAGTTATGGCCGTATGTAGCTACCTATGGTTATATGTGTAAATGTTTTTATCTGTTTTGTAGGATTCTGTCAGAGCTTTTGAACACCCTGGGTTCATCATGAGGCTGATTCTTGATAATGACACCATTAAGTTTGAACCTGAATTTGATGAATATATAGATATCCTTGTAAATGTTTATGATGTCATGATTAAGGTTGTCAGCTTTGTGCCAAGAGTGGAGACAAAATTGTATTCCAAATGGGTAAGTGAAGGACCATCTTTTGCTTGGTTTGCATAATGACGTACACTGAAAGTAACTTCTGGAAGGTGTCAGTAGATGCCCTCTGCTTCCCAGAACCTAAGTGGCCTAGGAATATTGGCTTACAAAAAACAACTTACATGACCATTTTCCCATTAGCTTCTCTTACAGAATACATGACTCTTCCAGGCTTCCACTGGTCTCTGCAAATTTGCCAAGGGTCTGGATTCATGCTGCGAGGGGCTTGGACCACTGAGTGTGTCTGCTTAGGGCTCTGGCCATTGGCTGTAGCTCACCATTATATTTTCCAGCTCTGTAAAGCTGTGCTGAGGTTAGCTACCTTTCTCCATTAAATAGTGAGCTCTTGTCTGTGTAGATCCTGTCTAAGCCATTTAAATATTACATGAACATGTGTGAAGCTTCATTTACTTTCAAGGTTTTTGAGTTTTGTAATGTTGATCAGTAGCTGTCTTCTTCCTGTCTTATATTTTAAAATAGTTACAGATATTTGATATATACCCAGGAGCACAGGACAGTAATGTGTAAAGGCTTAAACAGTCAGAATGCTCAGTCCTGTGAGGCTATAATCCAGTTTAAGGAACAGAGTACTCCTGACACCTAAAAGCTCCGTCCTCTCTCTCTTCACCCCTGCTACTCCTTCCTGTCTACATTCCCATCCTTCTGCCTTCTAGCGAAAGAGTCATCATCCATAATCTTGGAGCTATTATTCTAAACGTTTTAAAAATAGAATTACTAGTATTTGTATATTCCTAAACTATTTCTGTTTAGATTTTCCATATCTTTTTTAAAACTTGAATCATATTATATCTAACTTGTGACTTCCTTTAATTCATGTAACATTATGATTATAAAAGTACATGTTTTGAGTATATTATACTCTTCATTAGGGTCCTACTTTTTATTTCTTTGTTTCCAGGAATTTCATTAAGTTCTTTTTTAAATAGGTCTGATCACTTTTGATTTTTTATTATTGTATTTCCTAAGCTTTTAGTTCTTTTGTATATATTAATTTTTGCTGTTTTATATTTAATAATTCCTGTATCTCTCTTGTTGGCCTGTCTGGGTCTGCTCTTTGTTGACTCCTGAGGCTGGTGATTTATTTCTCTGGCTTTTTTTCTAACTATTACGGAATTTCCAGATGTGATCAAACAATATGGTGAATATTTACTTGAAAAGAAATGTAGAACAGGAAGGGACACATGGCCTTCATCCCCCTCGAAACGTGCCCTTCTCTCTGAACACACTGTTCCCATTGTTCTCTGCACTTTCTGCAGCACTTCTGGCATCCTCTTTCAGGAGTGTCTTTAGCTGCTGTGTCCCAGCTGCCTTGATGTCCTGAGGTGATTCAGAACATTTACCTGTCGTGGTCATTTGGACTTTGGGGAAGATCCAGAAGTCACGGGGTGCCAGGTGCTGTGAATAAAGTGGGGGAAGCCTGACACGTTTTTCTGGGCCTGCCCATCATAGCAGCAGCGTTCACTGTATTTTTGATCACAGAGAGCAGGCTTCCAGGGCTGCTCCAGAAGGTGGGAAGGATGGGATGAGTGTGCTGTAAGTGAGGGGGAGGGTTTTGAGAGGGATTAAGGGCAGTGTCTTCATTGTTGTCATTACTCCAGTAATTCTTAAAACTTAAGCATTCGCCATATATTTCAAGCACCTTTAGCAGCCACAGAAGGGCTTTACGGGTAATCTTTGATCTGTGGTTAAAGTAGCATTTGCATACTGTCTTGATGAGTGCCTCGAGTGTCCTGCAGACCAAGGGTCCTATTTTGCCCCAATCCTTTCTTAATGATTTTGTGGATAACTGTGGCAGTTCTCAGATTCTCATTTAAAGTGGAGAATCAGCTGTCGCTACAACATTTTAAAGCAGCTGCTGTTGTCTTCTGCACTAAGCAGCAAGGCAGAACCGTTCATTTTCCTTCTTCTTCTTCCCTCGAGGGCTCTTAGTATTTGAAGATTTGTCTCCTTGGAGCCTTCATTTCCTGTGTTCATCTGTGGTGTTGCTGGCTGTGTTGGAGCTGAATCAATCCTCCTGGGGTCTCAGGCTGTGGCCGTGTCCCCAGAGGCCCCAGCCCTGCAGAGACCCTGGGCCCTGGCGACATCCTTTCTTATGCTGGAACCTGTCTCAGTCCCTTCCCTCTCGGCTCCCTCGGCCTCCCCTGTCTTCCTTGGCTTGCTAGGCCACCCGTTATGGGAGCTTAGTCCTTTCAGCATGCTTATGTGTTCTGAACAAGTTCACTGTTTTCTAGGTATCTGTTCTTCCAGTTGTTCTAATCGGAAGTCTCAGGAAACTTACTGTTTGCTTTGTTCTGTGTATACTTCCAGCTCATCTGTGGCCTTCTTCTCTATCTTAACACCCTGTGTTTTTCCAAGGAGGATTTTAGCTAGCTAGTGAAACAGAGAAGTATAAAAGGTTTCTAAGAATGACGCAGCTCTAGGTGGAGAACAGTAACTGTGAACACAGCTGCTGTGACTTCATGCTTCGGAGGAATGGCTGTATGCTTCCTGGGTTCCTAACGTGAAGAGGATCTTGTGGCAAGTCTAGCACAGGATTAAAACTCAGACCTCTTAGGTGGAGAGTGGTATTTTCCTGGTGTCACATCCTGAGAGGAAGCGCCGGGGAGATGGCTCAGGAGAATAAGCGCTTGCCTGGCAAGTGCAAGGGCCTTAGTTCAATCCCCAGTTCCATAAGGAAAAAAAAAAGCACAAACATCCTGAGAGGTAGATCTTCCATGGGACCTGGAAATGACTTTGGAGCTCTGTGCCCCAGCAACCCCTGGTGACATTTCCCTATACAAATCCAGGGACTCACTATTACCCCACTGGGTACAAACCTTGGCGATTCTGACTTTTGGTCAGGACTGGAAACCAAGACGTTAGAGCATCCTGAGGCGGCTGATCGACACAGGCTCAGCGATCTGTGGCAGAAGTCGCAGAGGTGGCATTCATATTGTTGTTTGGCAAACCAAGGTCTCCTACAAGATAGCTTTTCTCTGAACTAATACCAAGGGATCAGGCTTTGTATCAAAATTGTAATTTCTATTGTAGTTCTGAAGTCCTCATATCTAATTCTATTATAGACCTTGGCCAGTTAGGCAAATTAATAAATTTAAGCCACATTCTATAGTGAGTATTGGCGAGCTTCACAGTAAGCAGTGAGTTTGCTGGGCATGCAGTGCATGGTATAGGCGGCGTTATCCTAAGGCTTTTGTGTTAGGAAAGGTGAGATGGATCAGCCTCGGAGCACGGGCGCAGTGGGGGGCAACAGGACTCGCTATTACCTCCTGCGGCCTGGAGCCTGGGCACTGCGAGTTCCTGCGTGCCCACGAGAGAGCCCAGCAGGATGATGCCTCATAGTGTTACTGTAAAAATGCCTTCTTCCAGACAGATCTCTGCAGAGTAGTAATTCAGGTGATAGTTGCTGACACAGTCCTCTTACTTAAAAACAAGATCTGCGTGAGTACTTCAGGTTGTCCTCTGGCCCCTTCTCGCTGTTACTCTAATTGTGAAAGCAGAATGTAACTTCATTACAGTGTGTTTGTGATTCGCAGTCCTCGTGGGGAGCCATCCGATGCCTACTTCAGCCAGATGTCTTTGCCCCTCTTCCCACAGAACCCCTTCCCATCTCTGCAGGAAACAGACTTTGCAACTGAGGCTTTTAATCTGTTCTAGCATTTGCTCACAGACTCAAAGATCGGAGGTTAATGGATCAGTCAGCTGCCTTTTTCTGTTCTAGATAGATTTCTCCTCAAGCTGAAAGGTTCTGTGATTTAAAAATATGATGATATGTGTAAGGATCTGTTGGTCTCAGTGTGATCCGTTCTACCCAGGGAGAAACAGCAGCTGGAATGAGGAAAAGATAGACAAGAAGGCAAGAGCTGGGTTGGGGGTGGCCGGTCTGCCTTGTGGGCGAGCCGAGCCCTGCCCCACCCCCCAGCAACAACGTGGACATTACTTACACCTTTGCAAAGTTAGTAACGCATGACACAAGGTTGCCTAGTGACTAACAGCCGACATTAACCAGTCAGGATGCTTATCTCAGGACTGAGGTAGCTTGTCTGCTGTAGGTGCTGAGGCCTAGCCCCACCTGCACACATTTGACTGATTTTCCAGCTTCTATGGCCCCCAACAGACATGGCCTGGGGTAGTGGTACACACCTATCATTCCAGCACTGGGGGTGGGGGTGGGGGCTGAGACAGGAAGGTGGCTAGGCACTGGAGGCCAGCCTGAGCTACACAGTAAGTTCCAGGTCAGGCTGAACTGCATAGCAAAAAATAACAACATGTGATATGACATGGAACTAGTGTATTTTATTTTAATAACATGCAGTATAAGCATATCCTTTAAAGGTAACATAATTACACAAATAAGATGTGGGTTTTGCTGTTTATATTCTAAATCTTAGTTTGTATGTATTTTCAAGTGACTTTTCTCTCATCCATAGGGAAAAACTAGGTAGGCTTCAGGAAGACAAAAAAATAAGACCCCTTATTTTAAAGTGCTGCTTTGATTATATCGGATATCTGAATATAGATTGGAGATTAGGAAATAAAAATGGTATAAAGTTAAAAGGCAACCTCATCGTAAGATTGGAATTGCTGCAGAGATAAATGCCATGGTTCCTTTGACTTCAAGCATTTAAAGAAACTTACATGTTTTCTCTCCTTTCTTCAGGAAAGCAAGTCTAAACCGACCACCTTGAAGCCCATAATTCCCGATGAAATCGTCAGTGCTCACAAGAACAAGATCAGGGAGGTGGTGGAGCAAGAGCGCGTGGCCCCGACCCAGCACCTGCGGCTCTATGACAAGTACGATTTCTTAATTTCCAAACAAGCTGAGCGAGACACTGATGCATTCCTTGAGGAAAATCATCACTACGAGAGAATAATAGAGGAAATTCGTAAATATCAACAACTAATAGAGGACATACAGTACACGTCTAGAAAGGTAAGTGGCTGGCTTGACACCGCAGTCGTCTGCGTGCCGTGATCGCCTCTCCGTGTTGTTAGCGCCTAGTTTCAGAACACGCAGCGAGGGCGTTAGAGCTCTGCTGTCCACAGGAGCAAGTACACTGAGCTTGTGGTGTGTGCCTCGTGTCGGGACAAGAGCTGGGGGTGGCAGATTTGTCAGGGCACAGAAAGACAGACGTGATGTCTGTGTGCGTGGAGCTGAGACTCTGTTCCACAGAACGGGTTTGAAGGTCCTTTATGTGATTCCAAGAACCTGATTTTTCTCTTTGCTTCCTGTCTATAAGCCCTCTGGAAAATATAATGATGACATCCAACTGTGCTTGCTTCTTCATGGTAGGATGCTAATAATAATTTTAAATTATTTTCTTTCATCCTTTTATGCATTTATTAAATTTCCTGCCATGACCATCTCTTACTTTTTTGTATGGAGCCAATATAACATTTGAACCCCACCTTACTGTTTAGCAATACCAGGGCCAGGGAGGTAGCTCAGCAGCCTAAGTGCCTGCCTGGCAAGCGCAGGGCCCGGGTTCGATCCCCAGTACCACATGCCAGGCTCGTCCCGCGTGCAGCGCTGGCCCTGCACACTTTGCTGGCCACAGAAACCAGGCGTGGTGACGCATACCTGGGATCCCAGAGCTGGGAGGCCGAGACGGGGATCAATTATGAGTCCGAGCTGCATAGTGAGACCCTGTACCAAATAGAAGATTAAAAAAATTTTTTGAACTGTTTAGCAGTACTTCCATTTTCTGGGGTTTTAAAATTTTATTTTTGTGAAATAGAATCAGCAGGTAGGATAACACATTTCAAGGATATTTCTACAGAGAATAAAAACAACAGTTGAGTGTTGTTAGGTCACAGGAGCAAAACTCAATCTCAGGAAAAGGACAAAAGGATGAGTATCCGGTCTTTCCTTTTCTTTCTCTTCACGTCTCTTGAACATCACTGTGTTGCAGAGTGTGCGCCTCGGAATGTTTGAGATACACTGTGAAGAGTTAATCAGAGCTTTGGTGAAACGAGCCGACACAATCTGTGGGAAACTGATAGCAAAGATGTACAGAGACCACCAGCAAGTAAACACAAGGTATGTAGGTGAAGTTGTCATTTTTTAGGAAGGAAAGTGACTGTCACTTGGGAGAAGTGGTGGGTGAGAGCTGTGTCATAAGTGATCCAAAAGAAACGCCAATTTTACCTCTGGGCTTCTGTCGTTTCATGATACGGCTATTAACCGTCAAAATCCAAATATTATTAGGTTCTGTTTGTGTTTCTTTTATACAAGTCAGATGGACATTATCTAACTTCAGACCTTTATACTTGTGTAACCAGTAAACAAAGTAGGTTTTCAAGGTGGATTTATACAGTAATTCTCACCAGTCCTAAAGACTCTCAAATTTGGTATTTCATCTGACTAGCTACTCCTCAGGCTCACAGATACAGGTTATCTTAAGTGTGGACTCTTCTGTTGGCTGAATTGGGGACTTTTAGAACTAAACCCACAGAGAGTTCATTACTTGCCTTGGCCCCGCCCCCACGTAGGTGGCCCCGCCCCACGCAAACGGCCCCGCCCCCACGTTCGCTCCCCCGCCCTTCCTTTGTGCCCCTTCCACCAAATCTGCCGGATCTGCACAGACTCCAGGCTGGAGGTGGTGGTTGCTTAGGATCCTGGCCTTCATGCTGCATTGTTCCATCTCATTTATCTCTACATCCCAGCCTGCCCCTTAATATTGTAGTGGCAAATATGCTATGTACTCATTGCATTTGCATTGAATAACTAAATGAGCACAAATTTGCATTTAACTCATTTGACGGCACGTAGCTAAATTATAATCTTAATTTTTCATGCATTGGATTAAAATGGTAAACAGGAATACCCTTTGGGGTGAAAATTAGCCATATGTCCTTTTTTTTTTTTTTTTGGCAGAATTGGGGATTGAACTCAGGACCTTGAACCATGAGTCTTTTAATACTGATTTTGCCTGGCATTTTAGGTTATGTGAAGAATTTGAGAAGATAGCTGAGAAAGCTCTCAGCACCCCTCCGAATACAGCGGAACTAATGGAAATGAAGGTATCGAGTGTGAACTCTCTGGTTATGTGCGTGTCAGTTCACGACTGCTGTGAGAAGAAACGCGTTACTCTGAAAGCTAAGACAGCGGCTAAAAATCATAACTCTTATGCTTTGTTCATGGGTCTGCAGTTGGCCAGTCGGATTGGACTCCCCTGGGGCTCCTCTGTCTCAGTGAGGTCCCCTCTAGGGTCCTTCTTGAAGCGGGGCTCAGCCGGCCCTCAGTGGCTTGATGGGTGGAGCTGGGGCCCTACAGTGCACCTTTGCCCACTGTCTCTCAGATCGCAGCAGGCTGACCCGGGCATTTTCTCATGTATGATAGAGACATACACGCAGGAAGTTTGCAAAGCCTCTGTTGTGTCGCATTCGCTGACATCCCACGGAGCTGAGGAAGTCGGCAGGGACAGACACACAGGGCGTGGATGAGGGAAGGAGCCCTGCCGGACAGCAAGAGCACTTGTCTCCCTGGAGGGAGCTGTTGGCACCACCATTCTGACAGGCGCAGGGCGTGACTGTCCAGCGACCTGAGATGAGCGGCTGCTCCTCGTCTTTTAATTAACAAATACTGAGCTCTTAGCCAGTATTTGATTTTGCTTTTTGTAGGAGCTATATTTTGTTATGTATTAGCATGCTGTGTGGTGGTTTGCAGAAATATAGTACACGTTCAGCATAGAATTTATCGCAAAATATTGTCACATTTTGATCCTTTTTCACATTACTTCTGCGAAGTCTATCTAATGGCAAATAAAATAAGGCAAAGCAACTGGTTAATTAGCATTTCATTTTCATTCTCTTTTTATTCTTACAACATTAAGATTTCATAGAATTCTTTTTTTCTAGTATTCCAAAAATCCAAAAGAAAACCCTCTTTAAAATATTTAAGTGAAACCCCCAAAATGGATACAATTATTTGAAACTTTGAATAGGTAGGAGCTCTAGTAATTACATATGTCCAGTCTTTATTCACTCAAGCAAAAGTTTGTTAAAATCATTAGAACCAGCTTTAATGTAGACCTTGAAAGTTGTTGTTTCCTTTAAAGCATTTGGGCTTAGGTTGGGGTTTTTACTGTGTCAGCATGTATGTGTGTATAAAACACAGCAGCTCATACATATCTTTTTATAATATTCTCAAATTTTATATTAGTTATCATAGGCCACAATGAGATTGTGGATGATTGTTAGTAGTTAGTTCCTAAACTGTGAGGCTGTCTTCGCAAGGGGAAATTCTCTTGGGAAGGTGGCTACAGGCTGTGGAGTGTCACTTGTCTGCCCTGAGAGCTACCACTGGCAGCAATTAGGAGTTGGGGCTTATTTACTGTGAGTTGCCCTCATACATAATGATCTTTAACAGAATTAATAGGACTCATTGTGTAGTTTTAAAAATACTTCCATATCATAAAAACATCCCCACAAGAGGTGGTAAATTCAGTTAATATAGGAATCAGTCATTTATCATCAGTATAGGGAAATAAAAGTCCATCGACTAAGTGAAAGCTGGTGAAATTAAAATGGATATATATTTCCAGAGTGACATCTTGTGTTTGTGAAAAGCACCGTGGTTCACAGCCTATTTGCTTGGATTTGTGCCACAGAAGCGATTAGTCTCACAAGAATACTGTCACACTGGTGACACATTCTAGGCAGCTTTACTTTTTAATTATAAAAGTAACAATTTAGGCAATATGGGATCATGCAAGTTGTAGGAGTTCCTCCTTTTCCATAATTACTTCCTGTAGCATAATGTTGTTTGTACATTGCTGTGGCTCTTCTCCTTCCAAACCGATTTTTCTGTTTGCAGAGCAGGAAGATATACAATACAAAAAACAGATGGGGGAGAGTAGAGAACTTTTTTAAAAAGAGCTTTGAAATTTTTAATTTAAAAATATTAGAGGTGTTACTTCACGGACAGAAGCTAGATTATAGGACAGAGAAAACACAAGCGGCTACAAGGAAGCACCCGTTCATTTCTTGGGCAGCAGTTTTCTTTGGGAATTTGCTTCGTTAAACTGTATATAAATTTAATATTTGTCAAAAGCTCTTTGAGAGAATATATACAGCTCTCGGTGGTGTGCATTTCTCGTTTCTGTCCCTTCTAGACCCTTCCCACTTTCTGAAATCCGTATCAGTCGGTCAGGTTGGCTTTCTTCTCTCCTCTCTTCCTTGGGCAAGCACAGTCGTCAGCCGTGCTCACAGCGTCCCTCGGCTCCGTGCTCCTGCGTGGCTCTGTGCTGCTGCTGGGGTGCGGGGTGGCCCTGGTGTCGACGCCCGTATCTTCTGCCCTCCTGCCCTGCTGCAGCCCTGCCGGTTGCTCCTTGCCCGCCGGGCCCTCTTGCCCCGGGGCCCTCTGTGAACCCCACTTTGGGGCCCTGCTGCCTGGTCGTTTATCCTGCTCAGCCCTAGGCCGTGCCTCCCTCTGTGCTCCGCAGTTCCTCCCACCCTCACCCCAGCCCGAGCCCCAGCCCGTCCAGCGCTCCCCAGCTACAGGAAGGCAGTTTACTAACTCCGCAGCCAGACCACCAACCCCACAGGGCGAGGCTTGGGTGGGGGAGGGTTGCTGCTTTTCATCACTCTGCATTTCTAGCATGTGGCACAGTGTTGGCACTTGGTGCCCCAGAACGTAATCCTGGAAGAAGAAATGAGATCACCAGAGAGCATGACAAACCTCAGCATCCCCTCTGCCTTTCCATGCTCTAGGTGTTAAGTACATTTTAAGATTTTTCCCCCCTGCCTTTTTAGGCAGGTGTTTGGGGACAAGAGAAAAGTAAAGGGTACTGCAGCCCCTTACGTGGAGCCCAAAGCCTTTCGTGTAGGGAGGCCGTGCATGTGTATGCCGCAGACTTCCACCAGGGAGTTTTGCCATGTGTCACGTTCGCTTTCCCCCAGGCTTACATTCAGAAAGTGGAGGCAACTGAGATGGTTGAACTGGGACAGAGATTAGTGGACTCCAAGAACTGCCTGGCCTTCCTCATTGAGTGCACCAGCTTTTCTCCTGCGGACATCAGGCTAAACAATAGTGTTTTCCAGTGGTATGGACGGATGGGAGAGATCTTCGAAGAGCACAGGAAAATCATCAAAGAGAAAACAGAACAGTACCAAGACGGCCTTAAGGTAGGCAGCACGGGCACAGACTTCGCACGGTGTGCACTCTCTGGAAATGTTTGCGTTTTAACTTTTGACGTAGCATGGCCAGCTGCTTTATGTCCCAGACCGTGTAGCATAGCATTCTCCTACTATAAATCTTAGAAGAAAATAGTGCACATGGACGCAGATCTTTATTGATGCTTGTTGGATGATGAAGACACGGTGAGTGGTATATTGATCTAGGTGCCATCAGTTCTTGATTTTTCAAGGGAGAAAACTTTGGAATACATGGCCCCCAAGAAACCATGAATAAGAGCAGCATTTATCTTACGTAGGTCGTGATACTCTCTTCAGGGTTTTTATGTTAGCTGCACATCATTGTTTTCTTGGCCAAATGCTCCTTAATGTCTCTGGATCACTTAACTCTCTGAAACGCTGCTCACATAGTTGACTTCTTTTCCTTTTTGACCTTTCTGTGCAAGACGTAAGTCTGCGGCCTGCCTCGGGCCCCTGTCCAGCTCTGCCTCCTCCTGTCTGAGCTCCCACTTGTCACCTGTCCGCGCCCCAAGCAGCGTCTACTGCTGTGCTGCCCTCCTGCTCTCTCCGCCCCGCCCTGCTGCCCAGGCACTGCCTCCCTGGCGCACCTCCGGGTGCAGCACAGCAGCTGCCCTGCTCTCGTGGCGTGGGAGGGCACCGCAGCGGCTGGCAGTGGGGCCCCAAGGCAGCCGCTTCCAGGCCCGCCTGCCTTTCGGCGGCAGTCGGCTCCTCGAGAGCAGCGCTGCTGCATTTTTATGCTTTCTTCATTCCTGCCCATCACCAGCGTCATGCGGGACACGGGGGGGGGGGGAGAGCCCACTTCGTGCTTCTATCACGGAACCCCTGAGGCGTGGCAAGTGACAAAGAACAGGCTTATTTCTTACACTTCTGGAAGCTGGGAAGTCCATGTTTGGGATGTCTGCATCCTTATTGCTGTATCATTTTGCACCAAAAGGCAAGACAAGTAGAAACTTAGGAGAAAGAGGGGGCGAAAGAGAAAGGGCAGGGAGGAGGGGGATGGGCAGGGAGGAGGCGGGCGAGTCTGCCCTTTCTCCTCCTGCTCCTGCGGTGTGGCACTGATCCACGTGTGAAAACAGCCCTCGCCTCACGAGGGTCCCAGCTCTAGCAGGGCGCTGCTGCGGATTGTTTCCAACCTGGGATCTTTGGGGGCCACGTTGAAACCAGAGCTCACAGGACCACCATGAACACCCCACCTGCCACCGGAGCTAGTCGCAGTCTCGCCTTACAGATGAAGACACTGAGGCTCTGCAGGGTAGGACACGCGGTCAGGTCAGCCAGCCGATATGTGCTGTGGTCACAAGCCCCGCTCTCTTTCTGCCGAACTGCAGAAAGTACAGTTACGTCACTGAATAGGTGTTCTGGACAAGACTTCATGCCTTCAAAAGATCTTTCATTTTAAACTATGAGCTCTACTTCTGATTTCCTTTTTTTTTTTTTTTTTAATTTATGTTTAAGGCATTTCAAATTTTTTACACTATGTGGGAAGACACCCTGAATGCTAAATTGTAGATGTTTAAGTTATAGCATAGTAGACTCCTAGGAGATGGCATGGCTGGGTGTCCCAGAATTACTTGTACTTTATTGTAAAGCACATTATTTCAACAAACTACACAAAAAGCCGGTAAATTCTTCTTCTTGTTTTTCTTCCCCCAGGAGACTGCAGCAAGTAATTAAAGAGGACAAAAGTTAACCCAATCTATAAATTTTGTAAAAAATCTATTGCTGATAACTTCGATTTGACTTCTGATATTTCATTCATGGCTGTTTTCAGAACTATTTAATTTGTGAGGCTTACCAGATACAATTTCATAATAAGAATTTCTCAGGAAACATGTTTTCCATCAGAACATAAACTATTAGGCTTTTATATCTAGACTTATTTATCTTATGTATTCCATGAAGAGAGACCAAAAACAGCCAACCTTGGAATATCGTGTTTGAGTTCTCCTTGGAATTGGCATCTGAGGGTGGCAGAAATTCAGTTCTTTCTAATTATCTATACAGAAATGCAACAGTTATTTCTGCAGCCTTCACACAGTGCAAATCAGAGTCTTGTGTTAGTCCATTTATTATTATGAGATTTCCCAGGTACTAAATCATTTGTTAACATAAATCCTTCAACACACTAAAGATCATGATTGTTTAGCACATTCTGATCCAGTGTGTCCGTTAGAACCTCCTGTGTAGATAATGCCAAGTAAGCTTTTCAGTCTCAGAATTTATAAACTCTCAGTGCATTAATTTAAACTTAAAAGTTCTGTATGTGTTTTAGATCTCAGACATCTTCCGGATCAGCTTTCTGCTTTGCTGATAACAAACTGCAATAATCATTCTGATAATCCTTAGTGAACCTGTACATTTTCTCTTGATGTCTGGGATTTTAACTTTTCACAGTGGTAACCACAAATGCTGTTTGTCTTAGTTGCGGTGTGAGCGATTTGTGGAGGAGCTGGAGAGCTATGCCAAGCAGGCCCAGGAGTTCTACAGCTTCGGGGACCTGCAGGACGTGCAGCGCTACCTGAAGAAGGCACAGGCGCTGAACACCAAGCTGGATGCGGCCGCAGACAAGGTCTGTTGTAAATGGGCTTGGGAGGGGGAGCTAGGTCATAGGGAAACAGTGACTTCCTATAGGGCGTCCACCTCCCAGAAGGAGACTGAAGCAAAAGCAGCTTGGTTATATTTAATTAAAGCGTGATAGAAATGACACAAATGGACCTTATAGACATGCCTCATACCAGAGCAGCATGGCTGTTTCCATCGGTACTGGAGCATCGCAGGGACCTTCCTCTTTGTCTTACAGATATAGTTGTATCTTGTCTGCATCTCTGTTTTTATTTTACATCTTTAAATCATCTGTGTCATGATTCTGCCCTGATAGTTGGGACGGTGGTATTGAGCAGTGACAGTGGATAGAGAGTGGATGGATGGATGGCTGTAACAGTAAGAGTGGGTGGGTGTTTGTAGACTCCCGCTTCTGTACTTCAGCTATGTTTTAAAATTGGACCCAGTATTTTTCTCTGCTTAGCCACTGTGTTCTCAATCCTGCTATGCCAGAAATTAGCTTTCTCATTAGGAGAAGCCAAGAGAGGGAAAGCTTGAGCTTTTGCCCTATATAGTGTCTGAAAGTTTTAATACTTTCTATTAAAAAAGAAATAAGAAAACTACTATAGTAAGATGCCCTACATTTTTCTTATTTTGAAAAGTTTCAGGGGCAGGGAGATGGCTCAGTAGAATAAACGCTTACCTGGCAAGTGCAAGGGCCTGAGTTCAATGTCCAGTTCACAAAAGAAAAAAAAAAAGTTTTAATATCTGGCCAGGTAATTGAATAGTTTATCATAATCACACACAAATATGCCAGCACACATTGAGAAAATTGAAATAAATTTTTTTTAAATTTAAACTAAGCCCGCTGAAATTTTACGTAACTTGTGCATAATTGCTAACGCTCACTCTCTGAAGCTGTAGATTTCTCCTGTGGGCCAGCTGCAGCTCACATACTGCGCATTGAAAGTAAAGGAACAGCACTGCTTCCTGTGCCTCCTCCGGGCCTGCTCATCTTTAGGACCAAATGCCAGTGACAGCTTCTCCAGAGAAGCACCTGGGCCTGCACTGCTTCGTCCCTGGCCCCTGCCCAGGTGGCAGCTCTTAGATGTACAAACACGTGCACGTGCACACACGTGTAAACAGGCTCTTTGTTTTATATTAACCCCTTACCTGCTGCTGGTAACATCACTGCTGATGCTTTAGATTACTGAACAATGCTATTTAAATGTCCACCTCTTTACTCTGCTCCTGAGCTAGATTACGAACTCTTGGAAATTGGTCTTTACAATCTAATACTTTTTTTTATTTTCCAGTCTCTAACACAATATTACTCCAAGTACTTACATTCCTTTAAAGATGAAAGCTAGATTCTCATTATATCTTGGTGGGCAAAAACGTCCCTATAAATACAGATTTCTTTGATCTATTTTTTTTACATATTTGATGCAGGGTCTCACTATGCAGCTCACATGCATAGTGATCCTGCTGTTTTTAGCCTCCCCCGTGCTGGGATTACAGGAGTACGCCACCACGCCAGGTCTTGCTGGCTGGCTCAGTTTGCCTGGGGGTGGGGCAGGTGTGGCATGTGGTGCTGGGGATTAAACCCTAGTCCCTTCGTGTGCCTAAGCAGGTGCTTAGTCTGGTGAGCTATCTCACCGGCCCTTGATCATTTTAATCAGTGTGACTAAACATTGTTTGCTGGCAACAACAGTAATCTTAAAGAAACAGAGGGGTATTCAGCCTTTTAAAAAAGTAAATTCAGTCATTGTGGCAGTACAGATGAACCTGGAGGATGTGTTGGATCGAGTGAGTATGGTCCCAAAAGGCACGTTTGACCTGCTCTCGGTAGTTCATGGCGCCAAAATAGTCCAGGCCCTCAGGGGAGAAAGTAGTGTGGTGGTCCCTGGGGGCCAGCGGGGCAGCAGGGATTGGGAGGGGTTGGGATTTCACTTTCCAAGGATGTGAAATTTCCACTAGATGGAAGTGGTACCTAACGGGTTTGCAAACTTAACTTTCTGCAATTCTGTTCACAAGCTGGATTGGATGAGAACCAAACCAGTTTTCCTGTGAAGTCAGCATTGAGCTGAACCATTGAATTTGATTCAGTTCTCATCCAATTCAGTTTGCAACCAGAATCAAAGCATGATTTAAGTTTGTGAACTGAGGTACCATTGTAGATGTAGGAGATTTATTGTATAACGTGGTGATCATAGTTAAAAAGTTTTTTGTGTATTTGAATATTGCTAAGAGAATGGATTTTTAGCCTCAGAAAAAGTATGTAGGGTAATACATACGCTAATTAGCTTGGTATCTTTACAGAATACATGCAAATTTCAAAACACTATGTTATGCACCATAAATGTATACAGTTTTGATTTTTCAGTTTAAAAAGGAGAAAAATAGGAAACATTACTGCTCAATATTTATAGATTTATTAAAGTTTAATTTTAGCACAGCCTGAGGATTTTTTTGATTCACATTGAAATAGTCTTAAAAATGTAATTTTCAGTTTCATACTCCAAGCAGTGCATTTAATACCCATCTTTTTAGATCGTGCAATTTAATGCCGAAGAGGAGGCCTTTGGCTGGCTGCCATCAATATATCCTCAACGTAAAAAAATCCAAGATGGTTTGAACCCATATCTCCGTCTCTATGAAACTGCTGTGGAATTCAGCAACAAATACAAAGCATGGACAGAGGGGCCCTACCACAAGGTGAACCCAGACCAAGTGGAGGCGGATGTCGGAAATTACTGGCGAGGACTGTACAAGCTGGAGAAGACCTTCCAGGATTCTCCAAATGCCTTGGCAATGACCAAGAAGGTCCGATCCAAGGTGGAAGACTTCAAGCAGTACATCCCCCTGGTCCAGGTCATCTGCAACCCGGGCCTGCGGCCCCGGCACTGGGAGGCCATGTCTGCCATCGTGGGCTACCCGCTACAGCCGGCCGATGACTCTACCGTCTTCTCCTTCATCGACCTGAACCTGGAGCCCTACCTCGACAGGTTTGAGGGCATCAGTGAAGCAGCCAGCAAGGAATACTCTCTCGAGAAGGCCATGGAGAAGATGATCACCGAGTGGGACGCGATGGAGTTTGTCATTCTTCCCTACAGAGAGAGTGGGACGTACATATTGTCGGCAGTTGATGAAATTCAGATGCTGCTGGATGACCACATTGTCAAGACGCAGACCATGCGGGGATCTCCCTTCATTAAGCCTTATGAAAAACAAATAAGGTAAAGTGATAGGACAGTGCTTATGCCTCGTTGCACGTGCTTGAAGGTGAGGTCTCTTTTGAGAATTGATTCTGTGCCTCACACGTCGTGTTTGAAATAGTGCGTGGTTGGAAATGGTAACTTCCGTAGATTTTGAAAATGTACACGCTCCTTACTACCATCCTAACCCAGGTGGAGGTCAGCCAACACCCAGGCATTCCCATTTGTTACCTACGCTCTGATTTCGTTCTTTGATTCTCAAACATAATTTTGTGTCTGTGAGTATAGATTGAAAATACATAAATTCTAAAACCAGAGCTAAAACTGTCATTTTCCAAGTGCACATGCAGAGCCGTTCCCTGAACAGCTGTTGTAATTTCTGCTTCTGTTCGTGAAGGGTCGCTGATATGTGCAAGATGGTGAAACTGTCTCTCACCTGCACTCTGGCCTTTATGTTACATTTTGATCCTATCTATCAATGTCTTCAGTTGTTGTAGGAAGCAGTTTGCATTTTACCTTACAAAACAGCCTGCTGCCTCTCTTCTGTGAGGCTCTGCATGGGATGGGAGCTGCATGGCTGCTGTGGGCTCTGGTTCTACCACAAGGACCCACAGAATGCACGCTGATGGAGCCGGCCCGTTCTCCGTGTTTGGGGCCCTGCTTCCAGCCACACCACATCCTCATGCAAGTGGTTTATCTGGGTGCTTCTGGATTATTTTTAGGGACTGTACATACTGGAAAATTTCTGGCACCAGACAGGGGCAGGGGAATCGAGAAGAGCACCAGAAGGAAGCAGGGGCGCTCAGGTCTTCTTGTGCAAAAAAAGTATAACAAATTCATTAGCAAACACTGAAAAATTTAAGGCATTTGAAAATGCTTGGTAATTTGAAAAACTATATGTTTTGTTTTTGCTGATCTGAAATATTAGATCACCACTTATAATTGAGTCACGTGTTAATATGCACGTAAAGCTATCCCACCTCTAGGGCTGTTAGATATAATTCCTGTCTCTATGTCTGTACGTCCCTAAGAGCCGAGTGATTAGCGCTGTGTGGGTTCAGATCTTGGCTCTTGTTCATCAGCTGGGTGAACTGAGCCGGGCACACCCTCTCTGTGCCTTGTCTGCCCGTCACCAAGTGAATACTGCAGTGGACCTTGCCTTGCGGCCATCAGGATGGAGAAAGTACAAGTAGAGACCTAAGAGCTGTGCCTGTGACATACTTAGCTTGTGGAGTAATTATAATACTTACTCTTAGGGAAGTTAGGCCATTATTTGTTCTCTCTGTTTGGAGATGAACTTGTAACCTACTGTGATGTGAAATATGCTTCCTTCTCAGGAACGCCACTCCAATGTAGTTAAGGATATGTTACATCCTATAGGTCACAGTCTACGGTTGAAATATTTCATCCTAGAAATAAGTTTTTCTTGTGGCCACATTAAAGGGGAAGAAAAAGAATGTTAAAGGAAATGGGTGAGGCTTGGCTACAGCCATGTCCCCTCAGAAGCAGTGAGCATTTCGCTGTCCCCAGGACCTCATGTGAGAATTGGTGACTGCTTGGAATGGAGCCAGGTACAGGAAAGGTGTGCTCTTCCGACACGCATGCAGCGCAGCCATGTCAGTGTGTATGTGTGCACATATGTACATGCTGGTGTTACTGCTTTAGAACAGATTTGTTGAGCCAGTCACGTGATTCCTCGCTGAGGATGCGCAGAGTGGCGGCTGCAGTAGCCACGGTGCACACAGACAAGCTTGGTCCTCTGAACGTGGCTCTGCTGCTGACCACATCCCCTGTGTCCCCGCAGGGAATGGGAGGGCCAGCTGCTGCTGCTGCAGGAGATCCTGGATGAGTGGCTCAAGGTCCAGGCCACATGGCTCTACCTGGAGCCCATCTTCAGCTCCCCGGACATCATGTCTCAGATGCCCGAGGAGGGCCGGCGCTTCACAACGGTGGACAAGACATGGCGGGATCTAATGAAGAGTGTCATGCAGGTAGGTGGAAAGCTCTGTGTGTGTGTGTTCATGTAGGTAAAGCGGCCGGATTTGTGTTGTCAAATTCCATGGAAACCATTGTTGCTTCCAGCAAGTCCCCTGCTCTCCCTGGCACTTGCCTTTCAGCTCTTAGTTTACAGTGTCATGACAGAGTCAGCAAGTGCAGGGGCAGACGGTTGTCCTGAGCAGCCCGCAAGGCGCAGCCTGGGTGGTCACTGTGTGGGCCTGCAGTTCTCCACAGGGCTCTCAGCCACCCCTGCGCTGGTGGGAGCACCAGCAGCTTTCCTGGGGGGGCCCTAAAGAATGGATTGCAAAGAGAAATGGGGTGCAGATGAATTGCAGAGCCCAGTAAACACAGAGAGAACACACTAAGGAAATAAAAGCAGATGCAGACTCAGTGGAGGGAGGCTGATGGTTTAAGCTATAGGAATTCATTAAAAACCACTGACACCGAGAACAGTATACTTTTGTCCAGTTCAGAAGGCATTTATCTGAAGCATGGTTTGTGCAATAGAAGATTAAAACAGGAACAACGGTAATGATATTTTACATAAATGTGAACTTGTGCATGGGTGTTTGGATCAAGTACCATGCTGTAAGATAGGATGAGAGTTATCCTAAAAGTTTTAAGACTTAAAAATATGCACATTTATTATCTAAACTTTGAAAGTTGAGAGTATAACCCCAAATACTGATACTTTATTGATTTGATAGGAAAATATTCCAAGAGCTGGATGTAGGGTTATTTTGTTTAGTAGGTTTTCTGCATTTTATGTGCTAGTGCTAGAACAAATCTGGATGAAGCAAACTCATAAAATTAAGCTCTAGAATTTGTTCCACATTTTAAGGAAGTGTTAGTGAGTCACTCTGTAATACTCTTTTAACATCTCTATCAATATACTTTAAATTTAATCTGCCATGCATAATTACCTTCCACAGTGCAATACCTTTTATAACATGTACACGTTTTCATTTAGAAAGGGTTAAGTAGAAAAAAGAGAAAGGGCCTGGAGAAATAGCTCAGTAGAATCAGTGCTTGCCTGGCAAGGGCAGGGTCCTGAGTTCAATCCCTGGTATCGCCAAAAAAAAGAGAGAGAGAAAGGGTTAAGTAGAATTTACTTTCCTCTCAAAAATAAAAGGTAAATACTTGTATTAATTCTAATTGGTATAACTTTTAAAATGAAAAGCATATATTTTTAAAATGTGCTCTACATAGCCTCTTAAAATGCCACAGTGCTGAGGAATTTTGTAGGTATTTCAAGGCTTAGAGAGGGCAGTTATCCTAGAACTAGTAAATAAAGAGGGCACATTTTTGATCTTACAAAACTGCTGAAATAAAAATCAACCAGTAAACAAAAAAATTGATTATTTCCCTCATTTCCAAATAAGCAAGGTTTGTTTGGGGTCTTCGGTGATGGTTGTCCTCCTGAACTGCCTTGCTGTCTTTCTCAGTGTGCTCGGATTCAGAGCAGCGTTTATCAGTAGTCGCCAAGGCGTCTGTATTTTCTCAGGAAGTCTAACGAGATGATCTGTGTAGCAGGGGCCAGAAGATTAATTGCTTGCCACAAAAGGTTATCACTTTCATTCCAAGACGTCCCTAAGGCTCTTTAAATGGTATATGTTGCCAAGAAATAAAGCTTCAGAGGTTAAAAATAGAATGTAATTGCTCTGGTTAATATAAGTGGTTTGATTGAGCTGTCTCAGCACCTTGGGGTATAAATATGAAATCCTTGTTATACTTTGGTCCTATATATTGGCCAAAGCCCCTTTTGTACTGTAAGAAGCTCCTTTCTTGACCTCGTGGTGTCAATTCTGATTATCACGATAGCTTGGAAGACTCCATTGAAGCTGTTTCATGACCTCAAGCTCCTGTTCCTCTGTGCGTTTGTTCTGCTCCTCCCATGAAGGTGACACCAAGGCTGACCATGTGGGGACCCTGTTGGGATGGCTGTCGCATCCCATTCTCCTTCCTGTGAGGGTTAGCTAGGCTTCAGATAAGGACCAAGTGGCAAAGAGGAGGGAAGGGGAGGAGGCGATGACAAGAAGAGGAAGAGAGAGGGAGGCAGGGAGGAGACTTACGCGATAGTAACTGCACGGGACCTTTGCACACTGCTGTTGGGAATGTGGATTGACACAGCCATGATGGAAAGCAGTATGCAGGTTCCTCAAAAAATGAAAAGCAGAACCACCCATGGTCCCGCAGTCCTACTGCCGGGCATACGCCCAGAGAAAGGAAATGTGTGGAAGGGCATTCCATGGGCACTGCAGTGCCCCTCACAACAGGCAGACAGCAGAAACCTCCAAGGGTCACCAGCTGATGACTAGGAACTGAGAACATGGTGCACATACGCCATATCACTATTCCACCATGAGGAGTGAACGGGGGTCAGCCGAGCATCCTGTACTGCGACAGTTACATGAGCCAGTCCTAGGGTCCTAGTGACCATAGATGACAAGGTACTACTACTACTGTCTATTTCAAAGAGCTGGAAGAAAGGATTTTCAAAGTTTTTACCATAAAAAAAAATCACAAGTCTCAAGCAGGTAAATGCAGTTAGTCTGGTTTAAACATTACACACTGGATCCGGGTATGGACACATCCCATCCGGATGACACAATTTTATGTCTTTATAAATTTAATAGTTTTGAAAAGAAAAGAAAGGCAGATTGCCATACGTGTAGAGCATGAAAAACAAAACCAGACAAAATGGCACAGCAGCGAGCCGGCTACGATGAGAGCGGGGCTGCGCATCCTCTGAGGTTTGCATCTCCCGACCACAACCGGAAGAGTGGCCACGTTGCAGAACCGCTGTCTCTCTGCCCCCTCATACACACACTATCATTTTCTGCCTCACCACAGGTAGATAGTGATGGAGCCAGCCAGCCATGTACTGAAACCCTTGAAGCCATGAACGAAAATATTTTCTTCTGTAAGGTATTTTGTCACAGGAATGGGAAGATGGCTGACACAGATGCCTTAGGATGAACTTGGTTGAGTTCAATCTGACTGATGACCTTTGACCCTCCTGTACTTGGATATTGTGTTCTTCTCTAGGTTTAAGAAGTTCTCTGTTATTATTTCTTTGAATAAGCTTTGGTCCTCTTGAACTTCCATAACCCAAATGTTTGGTCTTTAAAATTGTCCCAAAGTTTCTATAGTCTCTCTTTGTAACTCTATTCTTTTTGTTTTCCAGGTGTGTACTTTGAAACAACCTGTCTTTAGGTTTACAAATTATTTCTTCTGTTTGATCTCTCCTGCCCTTAATGCTTTCTATTGTGCTTTAAATTTTGCTTAGTGAATTTTTCAGGTAAAGGATTTCCTTTTGATTTTTTTTTT